TATGGGATTTTCCCATGTATTTTACCAGGAAACATAGATAGGGCAGGCTGGAAAAGTCAGTGCCCTCCTAACCATACCCAAGCACTCCGAGTTTGTTGGCGATGTCCATTTTGCTCTATGAGTTCATGGTGACCTAACCCTAACCCTAAGTGGAATTTTCCTCCTATGGGATTTTCCCATGTATTTTACCAGGAAACATGGATAGGGCAGGCTACAAAAGTCAGTGCCCTCCTAACCATACCCAAGCACTCCGAGTTCGTTGGCGATGTCCATTTTGCTCTATGAGTTCATGGTGACCTAACCCTAACCCTAAGTGGAATTTTCCTCCTATGGGATTTTCCCATGTAATTGACCAGGAAACATGGATAGGGCAGGCTACAAAAGTCAGTGCCCTCCTAACCATACCCAAGCACTCCGAGTTTGTTGGCGATGTCCATTTTGCTCTATGAGTTCATGGTGACCTAACCCTAACCCTAAGTGGAATTTTCCTCCAATGGGATTTTCCCATGTAATTGACCAGGAAACATAGATAGGGCAGGCTGGAAAAGTCAGTGTCCTCCTAACCATACCCAAGCACTCCGAGTTTGTTGGCGATGTCCATTTTGCTCTATGAGTTCATGGTGACCTAACCCTAACCCTAAGTGGAATTTTCCTCCTATGGGATTTTCCCATGTATTTTACCAGGAAACATAGATAGGGCAGGCTAGGAAAGTAAGTGCCCTCCTAACCATACCCAAGCACTCCGAGTTTGTTGGCGATGTCCATTTTGCTCTATGAGTTCATGGTGACCTAACCCTAACCCTAAGTGGAATTTTCCTCCTATGGGATTTTCCCATGTAATTGACCAGGAAACATGGATAGGGCAGGCTGGAAAAGTCAGTGTCCTCCTAACCATACCCAAGCACTCCGAGTTTGTTGGCGATGTCCATTTTGCTCTATGAGTTCATGGTGACCTAACCCTAACCCTAAGTGGAATTTTCCTCCTATGGGATTTTCCCATGTAATTGACCAGGAAACATGGATAGGGCAGGCTACAAAAGTCAGTGCCCTCCTAANTGACCTAACCCTAACCCTAAGTGGAATTTTCCTCCTATGGGATTTTCCCATGTAATTAACCAGGAAACATAGATAGGGCAGGCTGGAAAAGTCAGTGTCCTCCTAACCATACCCAAGCACTCCGAGTTTGTTGGCGATGTCCATTTTGCTCTATGAGTTCATGGTGACCTAACCCTAACCCTAAGTGGAATTTTCCTCCTATGGGATTTTCCCATGTAATTAACCAGGAAACATAGATAGGGCAGGCTGGAAAAGCCAGTGCCCTCCTAACCATACCCAAGCACTCCGAGTTTGTTGGCGATGTCCATTTTGCTCTATGAGTTCATGGTGACCTAACCCTAACCCTAAGTGGAATTTTCCTCCAATGGGATTTTCCCATGTATTTTACCAGGAAACATAGATAGGGCAGGCTGGAAAAGTCAGTGCCCTCCTAACCATATAAAAGCACTCCAAATTTTCCCTTTGTGGCATCATTCTGCTGAACACCTACTTCTGCCTAGTGTGTGTGTGTTTTTACCCATGTAGTATAGCTGTAGTGTTATTATTTATCCAATCTGATTACTTCTCCCTCTTATTGGTATTATCATCATCATCATCATTCTGTTGTTTTGCATGTACACTAGAGACATTTCTGCACCAGAGACAAATTCCTCGTGTGTCTAATCCCACTTGGCCAAATAAATGCAGAGGAGTTCTTTCTAGGGGGAGGTTCTTCCCCAAAGGAGTGGGAGAGAGAAGTGGGAAAGGGGGAGGGGAGTGTGTGCCCAGAGACTGGCACCTGGGACTGCTCTGAAGGACCCTCCCAGCACTGGCAGCAGTCATAGCAGCTTTGTCTGTGCAGCTCCCCTCCCCCTCCCTGTTTTTCTGGGGCCCTTAAAGGAAGTGGAGGAAAAGAAGGGCCCGATCCGATTTCCTTCTCTTGGGCAGAGCCGTTCTTTGTGGGCTCAGCCTTCCTGCGGGAGAGCAGCGCCCAGGAGGATGAAGAGGGCAAGATCTACTTCTTCTTCAGTGAAACCGGCAAGGAATTTGACTTCTTTGAAGACACTGTTGTGTCCCGTGTTGCACGTGTGTGCAAGGTGAGGGGCATGTGAGGGAGGGGGGGGGACCGAAATCTGCTTATGCCGCTTTTTGCCCTCCGTCTCTGCAGTGGGGGGTCCTGGCAGCTGTCATCGTTTCCTCGTCCTCTCTGTCCTGCTCGTGGGTGCCAGAGCTGCCCATGGGCTCAACAGGCTCGGTTGAGGGAGAAAGATTTGCTGGGCTCACCTGGGCTGGGACCTGAGGCTGGAGGGGCAGAGGGCAGTGGCTGGGCGCCAGTCAGAGGTGATCTCTGTGTCCAAGGAGGCACAGAAGGTGGCTCTGCTGCCACTCAGCCGGGGGAATGGCAACGTTTGGCAAGCCTGCTTCCCTTCCTCCTGTTCCTGTTCTTCCTGGCTTCCTCCTCCTCCTCCTCCTCCTCCTCCTCCTCCTCCTCCTCCTCCTCCTCCCTCCTGCCCTCCCAGGATGACCTGGGCGGAGAGCGTGTGCTCCAGCGACGATGGACAACCTTCCTGAAGGCTCAGCTGCTATGTTCTCACCCAGAGGACGGCTTCCCCTTCAACGTGCTTCAGGACATGTTTGTGTTGACGTCAGGCGATGGCTGGCCAGAGACGGTCTTCTATGGGGTCTTTACCTCTCAGTGGTGAGCCTTGGGGGGTCTGGCACCAAAGCACCCACAGAGGGTGGTGGTCTAGGAAAAGAGGCGCATCATGACTAAGGCCCAACGTGCAGGCGAATGGTGGAAACGGTGTTCCCCGGGCACCTCAAGGCCCACGCTGCCTCTCCTGCCCCTCTCTGCCAGGGATAGGAAAGGCCCTGGGGCTGCAGCGGTGTGTGCCTTCCCCATCTCCGACGTGAAGGAAGCCTTTGATGGGCTCTACAAAGAGGTCAACCGGGAGACACA